TTATGTTGAAACCCAGTCATCCGTCTCCCCAGCCATAATTCGGGACTCACGACTAACCCTTTACCGAGACCTGGTTTTAAACTCCATACTTGCCGCCTACTAGGTGTATTCTGAGTGTTTATTATCCTCTCGCCCTTCGTGGTTGTGTCGAAAGCCTGTTGTAATAGCAGGGAGTACCTCTGGGCTCAATATTGCTACATTTGCTCAGACCATTGATGAATACTTATTCTCCAAGCTTCTAGTTGAGGCGTACTGTGATTAATCTTTTTCCAGCCCATATGCATTGGATATTATCAAGCTGCGAGCCTGCATTTTTCAATTCGGCACACTTGATAAAGGGGTTTTCGACGTATTAAAATACTATAAATTAGAAGTCTATCTCCGTTCTAATCACCTTGACCACAATAATTCCCCAACTTACTATCTTTGACAACTCGCTCTCAAGCTAAAACAATATCGTACTTAGGGTTTTAGGTGACCAATTTCCTGCTTTATTTCCCTTCCGCCATTCCGTTATTTGTGAAACTTTCAAAAATCAAGCATTCAATTGCAATTTGAAGTTTAAAATCCGCTTCTAAAAATTAATATTTTCAGTCAAGGCCAGGCTCTGGTGTGAGGGGTTCAAAACAATGTGGTGTGCAATATTTGAGCCTCATTCAACTTGATGTGATGAAGACTAGCATACTCCTAGAAGGGAATGCTTTTTTGTGTATTTACTAATCCTAACTGGCTCCTTACCCTGTAGTCGAGCTGGTCAAGATGAATTTGTAGTATGGATGTTTGTCAGAGAAAATATCCTAAAATATCTCGTATTCTGAGCTTCCCCTTAATTTTATTTACACATGCCCTTCCTCATAAAAACTGCCATTTTTTCTTAATTATCAGAGTTATCATTAATTCTTACAATTTTCTTGGTTTAAAAAAAAGCATTGGAAATCAAAAAGGCAACAGGTGATGACAACTTCCACCACCGAAGCAGGGCTTTTGTCTATATCACAGGCAGGCATGGAGTCCATTTAGTGGAAAAGATTCTTTAATCATCTACGATTCGACCCAGGGTGGG